CCTCTGCTGCCCGTGCCGCTGCCGCTCTGGCCGCCACTGGCCGGGCGAGCGAGCAGCCTGCGGGGGCAGGACGCTGCGGCGGCGGCGGCTGCGGCTCCAGCGCCGCTCGGCGGCGGCCAACAGCGACACCCGGAGGCGCCGCCGCAGCACTGCAGCCGCCTTTGGGCCGCGCTGGGGACTGAACCGGCTGTGGAGTCTCCACTCGATTCCAATCAGCAATCAAAGCAGGACCGGCTTAATGTGCTTCTTTCTAAGTTCTTTGGGACTGAGATGCGCTGTCGGGTGGTTTAGGTCATTATCACAATTAATAGTAAGAATCAAATATTCATAAATATTCTTAGCAAGGAGATAAAGGAAGGAACTCAGTTACTCTTTATAAACCAGGGCACAAATATAGGAGCAATAAATGATATTAGAAGGAAGACTTCAAAAGCATTTGTGCACAATGTGAGATCTCTTGAATTCTGCTGAATTCATTACCTGGGATGAATTTACCTGGGAAATGAATCAGCCTAAAGTAATGGAACCAATCTCTATGCTAAGGTAGCACAGTAACAGTTACTCTTTTGTTTGTGATTCTTGAAACATCCTTCTTTTCATCACCATAATTGAAGGGCTCTAGCTGGGGTCTCACAGAAAGAGTTTAGAGGCAGTGAACCATCCCCATCAAGCTGCTGGCCATGCTACTTCTAATGTAGCAGAGGATACAATTTTCTTTCTGACAGTTAAGTGCCTTCTGCCAAATCATGTCCCATTTTATCACCCTCCAGTAACCCCATGTACTTCTCTGCAACGCTGTTCCCAATAGCCGACTCCCTACTGAAACTGCAGATTGCCCTGATCCAGGTGCAGGACCTTTTGCCTTGGCCTTGTTGAACTTCATGGTACTTGCACAGGCCCACTCCTCCAGCCTGTCAAGATCCCTCTAGGTGGCATCTCTGCCCTCTCATGAATCAACTCAGCTTGGTGTCAGCTGCAAATTTGCTGAGGGTGTACTCAATCCCATTGTCTATGAAGGTACTAAATAGCACTGGTCTCAGGAAGGACTCTTGAGGGACAAGTTCTAAGTTTGCACTTGGACACTGAGCCATTGTCTGTAACTCCTTGGAGATGACTACTCAGCCAGTTCCTCAGTTATTTAACAGTCTCCAGATGAGTGCCCAGCACGTTCTGGGCAACTGTGTGAGAGACACTCTGCACATATTCTTCCACCCACCCCTGGTGGGTTTATAGAATCCTTGGCTTCAGTGGGTGACCACTCTGCCCTTCAAGGACTGCAGCTGAGAAGGTTTTGCACTGTTACACTACAGAAAAGTGTGCCTAGGTGAGCACATATGTCTGTGAAAGCTTCCTCTTCACAGCTGTAAACATCCCAGGTGTGTGGGACAGTTGGAAGAGAAGTGACCTTCCACATGAGAGCAGACACCCTGAGGTTGAGCTCCTGGCACCAAGAAAGGAAACAGTTAGGAACTCACAGAGAGGAGCAGGTCAAGTGTGATAACCCTTCATAGGCCTCACTTACTGTTCAGAAGCAGCTCAGATTGCATGGTACCCCATCAGGGACATGCAGGTGTTACCTCTGACAAAAGATATGCAAGTGAATGATCAAGTTCTTCTACAACCTCACACAGAGAGCTCTCCTACCTTCTCTTCACTGCTATGCAACTGGCAGCTTTGCCTGTGACCCTCTCATCATTGGTAAGATTGACCATGAGATGATAATGTACTATAATAACACCAAGAAGGGAGGCACATTTGCCTGCTCCCCACCATTCAGAGAAGAAATGGAAGGATTCTAAAGCCTGCAAATTACAAACCACCAAAATAAAAGAGGAGTGGTCATCCAACAAACGAATGACTCAGAGTGAATCTGCCTTCTTTTACCAGCCACACTGTTCCACAAAGAGGTCATGTTCACATTTATTTGTCCTATTCTCATAACAGAACTCAAGGACACCCTCACATCTCCTGCCTTTCACACCTGCTGTACCATGAACAAGAGGCACTAACACACGATGCATTGCTGAATGAAGCAATGCTGATAATCACAAGAAAACCCTCAGGCATGTCAAACTAAGAAACAAAACCCAAAAATGTAAATGAGAGAAGCAAGGCAAGGAATCATTAGGAGACAAGGAGTGATCAGAGAACCTCACTGGGAAACCTTCAGGGTCGTCACTGGAATTCATCTCTGCAAGCACTTGGAAGTCACTGAGATCTCCAGTTGCAAGTGCAGACCTAAAGTCTTATACCAGACTACCTAGTCATTTTAAGAAAGAGTCATCATCTCTCAGCAATTCTACTGTGTGATCTGCTCTCCTCCCAAGAATATCAAGCACTTCATT